ATTTCTCTTCCCAAAAATGTTTTGGGGTGGAAAAATAGAAGCTGGAGCCTTCTTCCCCTTGGCTAGCCAAAATTACCTGCTCAAATTATCCGAGTTGAGCAGAAATGATTGTTGGCTGCACCACCTGAATGAAGCATTTGGGCTTCTGGCTTTGGGGATGGCCATAAATAAACCCAAATTAGGTGTCCCAGCAATTGCAGCAATTGGGAACCCTGAGTTCCCAATTGCTCCCATTCCTGTCCTACAGCAGAGCTGTCAGGATGTCACCAGTGGCCATCCTGGCCTCCAAACTGTGGTGCCAGGACATAAAACCCGAGCACGTTCCAGCCCTAATTAGGCCAGGGAAGCAATTTGCCCAGTTGCCAGCTGCTGAATGTTTTATTTCCACTGAGAAACAGAGTTCGGCTCCCTGTTGGAAAAAGGGAAGGAAAAACCACTCCTGGAACCTTTGCAGAAGTTGCTCTGAGGGTCAAGGGGGAATTATTTCCCCTTAAAATGTGAAGTTGACTTGGAAAAAAACCATATTTTTAAAAAAATCAGATTTTGGTTACTAAATGCACTTGGAGATTCCACACAAACTTATGGTAGGGACACAATAAACTATAAACCATGAGGTGCTTTCTGGAATAAAATGCTGAATGTTGACCAAAAAACTAAAGAAGTTGGTGCCAGGCTGGGTTTGTGACCTAATTAGGCTCTCACCTAAACCAGGGTTTCATTCTCCACGAGACATTCAAACCAGACATGAGGCACAATCTGAAAACACAGGGAAAAATAGCTGCAATTACACTTATGCAAAACATGCAAATGCTGTGTGCATTGGGAGCTACCTGGGATGAGTCTGGCATGGTTTTAATTTGGAAATGGCCATGAGACAGACGAGGCAGTGACTAAAGTGCCAGACAGAGGAGGAAAAACGTCGCTTTCCAAGGAGATCGCCACAAAGGCCTGAATTACCTGAATCAACAATGCTGGCCAGGAGAGGTCTTTGATCTCTAATTAAGTCACATAAAACGAGGTTCCAGCCTGGAATGGGGATGCCGGCAGCAAGGAAACGGGGAAGGAGCGTTGCAGCCCCAAATCAAAGGTTGGTGCAGGAGGAAGGGAGTGTTTTCCATGCAGGATGAGCTTGGGAAACACATCCCATGAGCAAAGCCTGGCCCTGGGGCTGCCCAGGATGGTATAAAACCCACTCTGAGCGCAGGATCCCTCATCCACCACTCCTGCCTTCTCCTCCTCGGTGACACAGGTGAGCTGCAACCACCTTTGCCTTCCTCTTCTCCTCCTCCTTCTTCTCTTTGTCTTTGCCTTCATCGCTGCTGTGCACCTCCTGCTGAGAACTTTGCTCCCAGATCCTGCTCCCAGCCTCTGCTCACTGTGAGGAGCTGGGAGAAGCTCTTGGGCTCTTTGCAGGAAGCCGAGGGGATGGGGATCCTGATCCTTTCTTCCTCCCTCTTCCCTGTCCCTTGTCCCGGGCTCTGCTCCTGCTCCTGCTGAGGCCGAGCCTCACGTTCTGCCTGTGCCTTCCGCAGGTTCTCCTCCAGCCACAGCCATGTCCTGCTACGACCTGTGCCGGCCCTGCGGCCCCACGCCGCTGGCCAACAGCTGCAACGAGCCCTGTGTCCGGCAGTGCCAGGACTCGCGGGTCATCATCGAGCCGTCCCCCGTGGTGGTCACCCTGCCCGGGCCCATCCTCAGCTCCTTCCCCCAGAACACCGCCGTGGGATCCTCCACCTCCGCCGCCGTGGGCAGCATCCTGAGCGAGTCCGGGGTCCCCATCAACTCGGGGGGCTTTGGGCTCTCGGGGCTCTCTGGCCTTGGTGGCCGCTACTGCGGCCGCAGGTGCCTGCCCTGCTAGAGCCGGGCCGGACGTCCAGCGAGTGCCTCGCCAGGCCAAGC